GATGGAGCATAATCCACCATGCCATGGTGATTGCTTCATGTGGCCTAAGCATGACATTGCTAGGCCAAAGGATTAGATCAGGAATGGTCATGTGATTCATTTTGAAACGATGATGTAAAAAGATGCGATGCAGACGTGAAGAAAAGAAAGACTACAGACATTTTGCCGTCATGTGGGAAGCAGAAAGGAGAGAGGAGAAGAAGTTAGGTTTCTGATAAAAATTTTGAACTACTGAGTCCAATCAAACCTCAAGCCAGCCCTACCTCTGTCCCTTCCAGTTACGTGAGCCAATGCATTTCCCTTATTGTTTGCGCCAGTTTTTGTGGGTTCTGTCTTATCTGAAGCATGAAGCATCCTAACTGATATAGGAACTGAAGGGGTCAAGAGCATGCTCACTAGCCCTGAGCATGACTAAAGGAGGCAGTATGAAAGTGTTTAGTCCAGAGAGAAAAGGTTGGAAGAGGGATACTAAAAGTGAAAGATCACCTCCAAGTAACAGTGCCCCAAGACAGCTCCTGGAGATGTCTTCAGGTCAAAAAAAATAATGAGTTCTAAACACCCTTACCATCTATGAAAAAACAAGCCAATCTGAAAACCATTTGAGATAAACAATTGCTTCCATGACCACTGCTCACTTGGTGTGACCGTCTCCTGGAAGTTGCTACGGATCCATTTCTGGGCATATTAAACCTGAGTTCAAAAGGCTCCTCCTCTGACTCACATATATACTCCCACCAAAAGCAGTTCCAAGCAGGCCCGTGCCTGGAATTTCAGATCCTCAGGGCTGTGGATTTATTCAGCAGCACCTAGGTTGATATCTACATAGAGGATTTCTACAGAAGTTTCTGGAGGAGGTGGTATAATGGAGAAGTCTGGATGACAGAGAAATAACATGGAGGACCCAATCTTTCTTAGACGTCACACCCAACCAGAGTCTCCAGATGCAGCTGGACTCTATTCTTCCCAAAGGATCCAGGAATGGAAGTGCAAAAGACAACTATAAAGAATCAGCAGTGCCTAGGTTAGTTCATTGATTAGAGTGCAGGCTAAAGTTTGGACAGTTTTTCTGACCCTGAGATGATCCCGCCTCATGGAATCATAGGAGCATAGAACATGAGAGCAGGAACAGTCCTTAGAAATCGTGCTGCTCTGTCTTCTCTTTTTAGTGGCATGGGATCGAATCTGGGCTAAGGGAAGTACTTTGTTTCAGACATTTAAACACCTTCCTCTATACCGCCGTGGTAGCTGGTGCTTACTGTTTTCACAGCACCTACCATGTTAGATTGTCATTCCCAGTGAACACATCCGCTCCTCTTTGAACTTGAAATTCACTGGAAGCAGAAACTGTCTTGCTTCCTTAAACCCCTGGTGCCTAGCGGACCCTGTCATATAGCAGGTGGTCAAACGTTTGTTGAAGAAATCAAAGTTTCAAGTCAAACGGTGAGAAAGTTATCATCATTCCATTAGGCAAAGGATATAGTATCTTGGTTTCATTAACTTTAAAGGGTAGAGCAGCTTCCTTCCAATGAATCAGAATGAGTTTCGTCATTATTTTTCTTATTTGCAAAGTATCAAGTTAATAAGTATGGAGCTTAATGTATGATATAGACCCCGTCTCCAAATTCCACTGGCTGACGTTTCTTTTTGCTTACCCAAGTGTCCCATCCCAAGCCTAAAACAGAAACCTCAAGAGGGAAGTACTATTTTCAGTTTTGTGTTGTACATTTTAAAACTTATTATTACTATTATTACTTTTTGCTGCCTCAACATCCCCAGAAACAGGCTGTGCGCACCCTGCCAGGTGACCAGGTGCATCAGTGTGGTAAGGCTGGCCCCTGCCACAAGATCCCATTCTTGCTCTCCCTTCACTGTCACCTAATGTCAATCAAATATACCAATGAAATTCCCTCATGCCTTTTGCTTGTGTACTGTATCCTGACCCCCAATAAAGGCACTTTCCCCTGGGTCTCTGTTTCTCTCTCTCTCTCTCTCTCTCTCTCTCTCATCTTCCCACTTGCTTGGTTGAGCCCCTTCCCTTGGCGCCCCGCCATGTGGTCCCCCTTTGTGGGGTACTTGACTGTTTCTCTAGGACGTGTGAGTATAATAAGCTTCATTTCCCTATGCCTCTCCTGTGTCCCCTCTTGTGACTGCACCTGACCAACCATCTCATGAGAGAATACAGAACAACTTCTCAATAAGAACTGCAACAAATTATTTTCTTGCTGCTTAAACTGTATCATTGAGCTCATTTAGAAGTGCAAACCTCGGGTCCTAAGACTAGCAGGTACTCCTGAGTGGAGCAGGGGTACCACTTAACCACAGAGGGAGAGCTAGATTTGGGGCTTTCTTGGCAACTTCTGGTGGCTACGATGCTGCTAGTACAGTCTCTAGCTCCTCATTGGAAAACCAAGGATGAAGTTCAAATAGCATCTCACTGCTTTCTTGGATGAGGGATCGATTGCAAAAGCATTTGCTTGTATTAAGCAGGCTTTTCCACCGACAGCAATATGCCTAATCCACCACTGTGTCCCTGCTGGCTCAGAAGGGACTAGGCCAATTCTGCCAACAGCTGCCGCTGACAGTGAAAAGTTGAAAGAGTGGCAGCAGATGAAAGAGAGGAAAAAGGTAGTGGAGAGGGGAGACTGAAAATGGAACGGATGGGCGCCATTTACAGAGATGAATTCAATGGAGAATTTCAAGTGCAGAGACACTGAGATGCCTTTCTTCCTCTCATCTTTCGTTACCGACCCACCCCGTTACTCTTCAAGCCAAATGACTGAAGATGGCCACAAATCTCTTCACCCACTGCTGCTCAGTATTAGCCAAGCATGGATGGGGACCTGGATGTCTTCAGGAGCGAAGTGAGGTGTGCTGAAAGCTGCCCGCCTCCGTCCAAAATATGTTGTCCATCCACCTGAAATCAAACTGAAACTCCTCACTAGAGTTATTCCTTTGGGTCAAGGCATTGAAGGCTCCTATTATAATGCAACTATGTTATCTAAAAGGAGGAACATATAATGCCTGGCACAGAGTAGAGCTTCTCTAAATGTGTCATTTTTAATATTAAATTGCCACTGCCTGCCGTTAGAACCTTAGTACAGATTTATCTACCAGATTCTCTCCTGTCTCCTAGGGCCCTTGAGGATCTATGATGGGAAGACTGATGTGGAACACTGGCAAAGATTGGGTAGCAGAGTCTGAGGTTTGGCGGATGGTGGAGAAAGGGGAGGCTGACAGCATGAGGCACTTTGGGGGAGAAAAGGGCACTTTCAAAAGGTGAGAAAGAGGGAAGAGAATTTGGAAATTAACATTTATTAACTTTTCCTAGTCAGGCACTGAATTAGATGCATTTACATCCACTATCTTATTTAATCCGCAACCATTCTATCAGGAAAGGAATATTAGTATTCCCATTTTGCAGGTGAAAATCTGAATAGGGGTTCAGATTAAGAAAGTCGCTCAAGGTCACACAATGCCTCTATATGATGGAATATAGATTCGAACCTGGACCTGTCTCCTAAGCCTATGTTCCTGAACCACGCTATCTCACACTCCACATTTGTCAAGGGGTAGCCAACCTAGTCTCTGCTACCCCTTCCGTCCTAATTCTCCAACCACTTGCAAATTGCGGCTTCTGTGACTCCCAGGTTTCTCCCTCACTCTTTGCCATGGACTATCTAAATGGAGACAAAAGATTTCCATGGGTGGTGGGGTAGGAAGAGATTTTACATTATCAGGATGGATAGAAATTTGGGGAGAGCCTAGTATCATTTTTATGGTTGCCCAAGGGTTTGGAAACTATCTGTTCCAGGCTCCAACATATGTCACGTCAAAGCCAAAGTTCTGGCGTAATCAGTGTGCTAGTTGGGGCCCTGGGCCCCTGCCTTGATATCCCCTGCCCCGTGTGTGCCATCTTGCTGTAGGCTGGCAGGAAGATTCATTTTCCACGTGGACCAGGAGGAGAAGATATGAAAAAAAAGAACAGCTGGTGTGGGGAGGGACAAAATCCGTCTCTTCCAGAGTAGCTGGGGTAGGTGCGAAAGACTTGGGAGATAAAGAGTCTTCTTTTTTCTCACCACTGGAGAAAGGGGCTGGGGAGAGGTGCCTACAGCCCAAGAGGTTCATCCATGGGATTTTGTGGAGGGTATCACCCCCAACAGAGATCCAGGCTGCACTGCCTACTTCCAAGGTTCTTTCCTCCCCTTAGACAAGAAAGAGAAGTGGGGGGAATTAATGGCCTCTGAGGTCATCGGTCAGGGGCCTAGGCTGCTATGTCCAAAGGCAAGACCAAGGGAGCAAGGCAGCCAGGAACAGTTTCCTCTAACCTTAACTTTCAATCCCCACCAGTATCCCAACTCATTCCCACACCTCTCTCCTCCTTCGTTGTTGGGACTGACTGTCCTTTTCATTAACCTTTTAGTTAACCCCTCCACGCAGTACTTCTCTACGCCCTCCAAAGCTGTCAGCCCCTCGCTGCCCGACACCGCCCTCTCCCCCCTCCCCCATAAGCCCGGCTCTGAGCTTGGGCCCGGGGAGGTCTCGCCTCCCAGAACTGTGAGGGTGAGGGCTTCTTTACTCGCTCTCGGATCTCCGCTGTAAAAACTGAGCGGCATGGCCCGGGCATGCGCAGCATCTTCGGGCGCATTGTGATGGGAACTGCTTCTCTGAGTCTCTACAAAGACTCCAGAGTAACCACTCACCGCCCACCCCCCGAGACCCTCCTTCTTTAAGCCAGACGCACAAACGCACAGACAATGCAGCTTTTCTTTCTTCTTCTCTTTAAAAAGCTGGCTGTAGCTTGAAAGGCTGGCCCACGTGAGGACTAGTGTATTTCTATCGATTCCATCTCCCGTGTTGACAAACGCCAGCGCTGAGGCTTTGCAGTCCGCGGCTGCAGTTTGCAGTGGAGCTAAGCGGTGTGCGGCTTTAATTCCACGTCAGATCAACTTTGATCAATATCCCCCTACCGGCCCAATTGGAAGAGCCCAATTCACCGCCGCTGAGCCTTTTCGCTCTTTCCTTCTTTTTTTCCCCTCTTTAGACCCACCATCTTCTGGGGGAGAAAAGTCTCGGATTTTCTTTTAATTTCTTTCTTTTTTTCTTTCTCTCTCTCTTTTGTTTCTTTGGGGAATTTGTTTGTTTTTCTGTGTTTTGTCTTTTTTTTTGTTTTGGGTTTTGGGTTTTATTCTCTCTGTCTCTCTCTCTGTCTCTCTCTGTCTTAGAGATAGGGAGGGAGATCGCTTTGGCGAACCGAGCTTGCAGCCAATGAACCCGCCTTCCAGATTGGTGTGAAGACAGAAGTGAGGTGGGGGGCGGGGAGGGGGTGTGAGAGAGCCTGGAAGCGAGCGAGCGAGAGAGAGAGAGAGAGAGAGAGAGAGAGAAAGAGAGGAGGTGGTGGAGGAGGACTAGTGTGGGGTGGAAAGGAAGAGTGAGCGAGAGAGCAAGTTGAGGGGAGGGGGTGAAAGAGCCGGCAAATTCTTTTTCTTTTTCTATTATTATTTTGAAGACTCCCGAGTTGCGCCTATGCTCTTGTCAGCTTCGTTCTAGGCGTAGCACGGCCAGGCAGAAGAAAATGGGGCAAAGCGTGCTCCGGGCGGTCTTCTTTTTAGTCCTGGGGCTTTTGGGTCATTCTCACGGAGGATTCCCCAACACCATCAGCATAGGTAAGCGCGAGCCAGCCCGCCGGTCGGGCCGGGCTCTCTTGCACCCGAGACCACTGCCCTGGCGTGGCTACTGCGGCCGCGGGTCCCTGTCCTGCATGGCCTGGGAAGGGACGGGGGACGGGGGACGGGGATCGGGCAGGAATCTCAGGGATCTGAGCCTCAGAGAGCTGGCTGGTCTGGGGAGCATCGGGAACCAGAGAGGTGATCTCCTGGGGCTTGGCGGGGTGGGCTGCCGCGTTTTCCGAGCTGAGCGGAGCAGGGGAGGCATGCCAGAGGCTGCAGCCGGGCGAAGAGTCACGGCTTTTCGGCTCGCTGCTCTGGACTTTGCCATGGCGTGCGTGCCGCCGCTGGAAGTTGTCCCAGGGTGATGCCTCCTGTCTGGCTGCGCCAGGGCGCGTAACCCGGTCCGGGGCTCCCTGTCCCGCGTCTCCGGGTCCCGGGAGACCGGCTAGCGCTGGGGGAGGTGGAAGCCCACCCTGGATTCCCCCAGACCCGGGCAGCAACCGAAGTCGGTGGCGGATGGGGTAGGAGGCGGAGGTGAGGCTAGAAGCCGAGCCAGCGAGCGGCGAAGTCACGCAGACCACGAATTCATGAATTGCCGCTGTGTCTGTCTGGAGCCCGGCTCCCGGGCGCTGGGAGGGAGTTCTCTCGGCTTCTCCCTGGATTTACTAGTCAAGAAGTTAGAATTATTGCCATTACAGAACAAAGCCCCTGTACTGTCATGGGGGAGCGGGGGCCTGTGGGGAACAGGATGGGGCAGCAGGGGGAATGAAATTGTTTTTCTTCCCAACCTTTCCCTTTGCGCCACGAAAAGATGAACCAGCTTGTGGAGATGGGAGGTAGCGGAGGAAGAGGGGAGAGGAAGCTACCGCCTGAGAAAGAACGAAGTCCCACTCTTGGTTCCATCGTCCTACCCCAAAGCAGCCTCCTTTTCCCTCTTTCCCCTTTCCCCCTTCTCTCCAGCCTCTCCTCCGACTCTTTAGAGGAAAACTAGGTTCCTCTTGGCCAAAATTTGAGTTCACAAGAGTCTTCAAAGACACACAGGTTGAAAATCAATCATGATCATGCCCCCAGGTACCACTGAGAGGTTATTGCCTATCTGTAGCTCCCCAATTTCTAACCACTCCTGGAGGGGGGACACAAGCCAAATCTTGGTTCCCTTTGCTTGTAGGTGGACTTTTCATGAGAAACACGGTGCAGGAGCACAGCGCTTTCCGCTTTGCTGTGCAGTTATACAACACCAACCAGAACACCACCGAGAAGCCCTTCCATTTGAATTACCACGTAGATCACTTGGATTCTTCCAATAGTTTTTCTGTGACTAATGCTTGTAAGTAGATCTGCTTTTCCTCCTTTTGGGACCTGGGAACCTCATTTGCATTTTGCTTGTGGGACTTGGGGTCTGCGTAAGTGCTGGGGTGGCGATTGCCTTAGTAGACATTTTAGGGGCTCTAGTCAATCCAGGTTTCATGTGACATAAATCAACTCCAGAGGATCCTGCTGAGGGAGGGACTTAAGGCAAGTACACAAAACTCTGTTGTGAATAATGTTTCATGCAAAAGTTTCATTTTCCTCCCTGCTAAACTGGCGCTCCCTCCCCCGCAACCCCCTCCCTTTTTTTTTCCTTTGGCTGGAAAAAAAAAAAGAGAAAAAATAGCATGGTTGTTCAGGGAAATTTCTTCAGATGAGATTAAAGAAAGAAGCCTCTTGATTGAGTCAATTCAGGATGTGCATTACTTGACTGTTAAAGCTAGCACCTGGCTGTAGGAATGAGCTGAATTTGACAATCGCTTAATATATAGGAGCCAAGTATGAGAAATTCTGCAAACAAGTGACCTTGAGGGACAGATCAGGCTCGGTTCCCTGGCCTCTTTCTGTCCTAGAATATCACCTTTCTTACCGAGAGAGCTCTGATAGGAACTGATAAGACTACAAACTGATTACAAGTGATGAATGCCTGGCAAACTGAGGGGGAGAAAGTGCTCAGTGACTCTTTGGAAAGCTACTTCTGTTCTGTCTCCCCTAGTGTTGTTCAACTCCCCCCCCCCCACCGCCATTGTTAGGGACAACACAGTTCTTAACTTAGAGCAAAAGGTGGAAGGCGGAGGCTTGCAGCAGGAAAACCGAATGCCAAAAGGGAAGAATTTCATTAGCCCCCAAAGCAGTTTCTGAAACAGCTAGTTGTGCCCTGTGATTGTTCCTGTGGAAAGGGGACATTTCATTTTGAGAAGTAAAACCACGGGAACCTAGATGACTAATAGCCTGTTGGGCACAGGTTTTTCTTGAATGTTTTATGAGAAAGACTGATAATTCTTCATCTGAGCTTATTTCATGACAAGTTTTCACAACAATGAGGGTGAGGATGGCATAAATATGTTTTGCTTTTATGGCTGGTGTAGTTGGGAAGTTTTGATTTTTGATTTTCTTTCGGGGGAGGAATGATGTTTATATTTGGTTGGGTGAAACTTTGTATATGACTTTCTTCAAATTCTTCTGCCTCAAAGGATATGTGATTTCCAAAAACTGTTGAAAGGGTCTCCAAGGGCACAGCTTCCTTGGATTTGAAGACTTGGGTCAAGGGGACGGAGGTGAATTACTTTGCAAGAAATTGTGACAGTTATCAGCTTTAAGAAAATTTTAGCTGAAGGTACAGATCCTTATATGAACATGTTCTGAGGTACTCTGTATTTGACATTCTTTGGCTTTCCGACATTGACAAAAATAGGAGCTTATTAACTCCAGCTAAGTGTGAAAGTTACAAAATGTCTGTCTATACTTTGCATCTGATTTTGGTAATCCCAGCCTGTCTCTTCAGCACACTTACAGCACACATCTGACTCTTAATTCTGCAGCCCTGAGATCTTGTCAAGAGGCCGAATTCCAAAGGCAGCTTCCTAAATATCAATTAGAACAGATTTAAAACCAAATACATGAAACTACCCAGATTTATTATTATTAACAGTGAATAATGTTTATTTCAACTCACTTTAGTGTCTTTCCACTGATGTTGACTGAGATAAGAGTGCTAATTGACTTCTCAGGAATGATTAATTTCCAAGGTTTTTGGTCTTGCTGTTTATGGTCAAATCAGATTGACACTAGCCAGCCCAGGGCCATCAGAACGCTACTCAAGGAGCAATCAGGGAATGATCCTTGCCATGTGAAAAGCTCAGGTTTGAGAACAGGCACTAAGTCATCTGTATTGGTGTTGAGTTGCCTTAATGCCCTACCTCTCAGGGCAATAAAGGGACAACCGTGAAAGGAAAAGAAATTGATCAACGCCCCCGCCCGACACCGCTGTAAGTCCACAACACTTCATCTTACAAGCTTATAAGGCTGGGTTATGGCTGGGGGCTTGAAAGTGTAGCATAAGGGGTGTGGCTTACTGGGCAACAGGAAAGACAAAAAAGGGGACCTTGCCCTTAGTTATGCCAAATACACACATATGCACACACTGACTCACACGGGAGAGATTTCCAGAAACCAGTGATGTGCACCCAGCTGCCTGTTGCACACTCAAGACTTTACAGCTCAGAAGACAGAGGAGGAAAGCTGTCGTCTTCTCCAGTCCCCGAAACAGTCCTCTCTGAATGTCACAATCATTGAATGGGGGCCAGATCTCAAAGCTGTCTCCTGGCAGCTGCTGCCTACAATCTTAGTATGAGAAAGATGACTAGTCCAACCACCGTCTGATAGTCTCTGAATGCAGAAAACAATCATTTCACGGGGCCAGGGAAGCCCTGCAGGTGTATCTCATTTCTTTCCCTGCCCTTGAGAGTTCTTTTTCTCATGGAAGTGAAGATCACATATCACAGATGTCGGCACACAATACTAGTTCAGCGCTGGAGCCTGGCAGGTGACCCCTGGTTCCATTCTTACAATGGATTGCATTATTACACAGATAAAAAAAAAAAAAAACACCCTGGATCCTCTGGCCTGCCCCTCCCTGGAGACCTAGGGAGAATTTGAGAAAACCCCAGGTGAGTCCAAACCTGCTTGCCCACCTCTCCTGTCTGCTTCAATATGGAATAGAACGGCAAAAATTAAAGAAACTTTCCCCTCTTCCCATTCAAAACTCCTAGTTTCAGCTTCCCCTAACACTAGAATTGATCTCTTTCCATGATCTTTCCTGCACCCTCAATCTTGCGGCAGGCACACACTTCTGAGGACACAGGTATGCAGGTAAACAAATATGCCAAAAATAAACAAACGGTAATGCCTTCTGTATGTGTCCCTGCTGCTCTCTGCTCTCCCTCTGCATCCCCTCCCCCAATGTATTCAGAGAGTTTGCTTGCAATGAATCCCAGGCATCAGTCATTTAAAGACTCTTCTTCACCAGCAACCAATTCTTTTCTGCACAACCCCCAAGAGGTTTGCTTAAGACAGACTCCGCCTTCAATCTGCATCTTAAGAGGCCAATAAAAGCATCTCTGGCTTTGAAAGGTGGCTCATTTGGGATCTCAGCTCAGAGGTGAATTGAAGTTTATCGAAGAGACTCAGCTGATTTGGAGCACATGTTCTTATTTCGTAGTGATTAACTGAGTTTGCTGCTTTACTTTTCAGTTTGGCTAGGTAGCCCCAGAAAGAAGCATGGTGTGAATACTATGATTTCAGGATACATGCATTCATACACACACACACACACACACACACACACACACACATGCACGCACGCACGCACCTATACACCCATAATCAGTACTTATGAAAAGAGGTGTTACACACGTTTTAAGTTGTATACACGTCTGTTCTTTAAAAACCAGATTTGATCATCGTAGGGCTTTGGGGAATGTGGCAACACCAAGGGACTGCTGAGTCCCATTGGTGTGGCTTTGCTCCCCTGGTTCCTCAGGAAATGCCTCCGATTCCCTGAAGTCCCCTCCTGTGTCTTTCTGCTGTGCACTTGTAGTGCACTCCACACTACATCACCCCAGCCTCTGCAGTGTCAGCTCATTAGCACACAGATCTCATATTCCCTCTCTGCACTGTCATTGCAAAAATTGCTGTTGTACACCTTTACAGCCAACAAATGTGCTTGTGGATTACGCGCTGTTTGCAAGAAGCAAGGAAAAGGCAAATGTAACCTTAAAGGTTATTCACCACTGAATTGTGCTCTTAACGCATTGGCTTAAGTAAAAATCTGTTGATGGAGGCGTAATAGTGATGGTGGGACTGAGAGTGGGACTTAGGAGTGCAGGCTCTAATGGAGCCCCAGGCAAAATCCCTTTTGCTGGCTAAATGTAACCCATCACCTGCAAATTTTTATTCCATTCATTTTTTTCAAGCTATTTGAAATATACCTGCTAACTGAGAGCACGCTCCTTTTATAACTGAGCGCATTTCGCTACCAAGTAAGTGTACTTAGCTGAGACAGGTTTCCCTCTCTTGCCCACAGAGTCACAATTTAAATTATCTAATTATTCTAACTGCCAGGATCCATTTAACTGTTTAAGTCCATTTGGGAAAGAAATGTCTCCCCTGATCCCATTCTCTGCTCTTTGGTGGGTTTTGTTTGTTCTTTTCATGTGATCTTTGGAAGCAGGGTGAGGACCCACAGTATCACGGCTCCTGCCTTCAAACAGATCTTCACACGCTAACCAATGTCAATAGCCCCAGCTCCCACCGCCAGCTCCCCCATCTTTGTGGCTTTGCCGCTCTCCCTCTCTCTCCAGGCCAGTCTTCCATAAGCTCACTGGCTTAGCTCGCTTCTCAGCCCCTCTGGCCAGCTGGCTTAGACTACTGAAGCACGAAGAGGTCGCCAGAGATTTAAGTCACCTTCTCACGAGGTTTATTATGGTTTTTTTTTTTTAATCTATTTTTTACGTGGCGAGGAGGGAGGAAGGTGATGCTGTTCATTCGGGCCATAAAAATAGATGGCAATCAGCAGGCTGTAAAGGTGAGCTTCCAGCAAAGTGTATAACCTCCCCTAGAAGGTGGCTTCCTGGTGATCTACTGAGGGGGGTGGGGGGTGGGGCGGCAGGAAGGGTCTGGGGGGAAGGAACAAAGAAAACTACTTGGTTCTCCATCTATGCCTACTGCAAAATAAGCCACGGTTTTTCTTCCTCTCAACAATTTTAACTTTTTTCCTTAAAATGTGACTAGTTTCTCACATCCCCCACTTCTGCCTCTATCCGAGGTTGTTTTCTTAATTCTGCATTTCCCTCCATACTTGCCAAGACTGAATGAGAATAGTGGGCGCTGGTTGAGGTTTCTATTATATGTTTTTGGCTCCTGGTATATTTTTAAATTTCATTATTATGGGTAGTCAGAGGTGATTGGCTGGTTTCATTTTAACAGATTGAAAAATAAACGAAGCTTCTGAGGCATCAT